ATTCGACTTCACTCGAAAAGTTTCGCCATCTATGAACTGTCTGGGTTTATCCATCGAACAATGAACACCGCTAGAGAGACCGTTGATATTTCCTTGTTTATGCCTGTAGGCAATCCGGTTGTAGTCTGATCTTCGAGCCCTGCGCTACATTCTCGGGCTATGGTGGTGGTGGTTGTGGTAGGTACATCAAGCTAAACAGTGCCTACTCCTAATGATTGTACGAGCTAAGTTGAGTTTGCATGTGCTCGGTCGGTACAGTTGTTTGAACACGAGTCTATGGAGCCAGCCGCTAAAAATGTCAGTTTAAACAATTTAGTCGATGGACTGAAGTGTAACACACTCCGTTGTCCGCTTTCGTTAGCAAACGCCAGAGCCGTACACCCTTGCCAATCGGTGCACATAAACATGTCTTCTTTTCTTCCCGACTGATCATACTGAGTAGCGGGGTTATTCTAATCGATCAATGTTCTGTCGTATCACTCGACTTTACATGGTGAATCATTTGTATTTCTTATTGTTCGAATAATTACCTTCTCCTGCAACTGCTGATATTGGTTCTATTGCTCCTTTCAGTATTGGCATATGCCGTCGGTCTCATATGAAATATCAGGTTTGAGTTCCAACTATACGGAGATGCAGCCTGCCGAGAGTTGGCCTCCTATGCATGACCTTGACATAATGCATCAGTCGCGGCAACAACGTGCGACTCGTAAAATTTCTACTAGCGAATTACAAGCCAAAGTACTCTGTGACAACGAGGAGATCGGTTCAATGGTTCCTGTCACTTGGTCTACCTTGCGTTCCATTTCAAAAAGCGTTCTGCTTCCACCCCCGAGTCCATATAACTATCAACCAAGTTCCACACCTCATTCCCCTGCGGGTGATGCGCTATCACGCACAATCTTGGTCTGGCTCACGGCTGGTTTCGATGGAATGATCTACGGTCGGCAACTTATTTTTCCCAATCCGAAACTGAACTCCAGGCCAGAAGATCAAATGGTTTCCGACACCGCAGCGCGTTTCTCCAACCCGGATTCCGCACCGTGGCGCATAGACTTAGCTGCTCATTCTCCCGCACCGATTTCAGACGCCGACATCGACCCGACCGGTCAATGGCTACTCACCGGGTCGACTGATGAAACAGCTAAGGTATGCCACCAGCGATACATTTCGTATTTTTATTTATAAACAATGCAGTCCTTGAGGAAGTCCTTGATCCGGATAAGTTCGATAGAATGATCTATCCCCTTTTCATAGATGTGGGTACGCTTTTTAAGTTAGCATAGTGTCTACTCCTTTTGACCTCGAGCATTTGGAAGACTACTGCTTTACGCTCGTCATCCGTGATGTATGAACTTGGTGGTTCTAATCAACTCCGATGTAGGATAGTGGTCCAAGTAATAACATGTGAAGGGTTTGAAACTTTAGGTAGAGATGAACTGATGACCGTACACGAACTCATGTGTGAGCGAAATTCGATCATAGGTTTGTTTAATGATATCGAGATCGGTCTAATCCATGGTTAACGAAAGTGGTTGATATGGTAATGACATAATTTGGATAAAAACCGCCTGAAATATTATACGAAATGTCTACTTGAGCCATATTTCTTTCGTATATCATTCGAATCATCACTTGTACCATATTATCTATATTTTTTCAAATGTATTCGGGCACAGCATTGTTTAAAATCATCCACGAAGAGGAAATCGGTCACTCGAAGGATATTTGAAGAAACATGGAAGTTAGATGACGGTGAAGGTAATATTTACTCAGAAGTCCTTCCAATCGATATGACTGGGAATTAAAGCCCCTTCATCGCTACCGCTCGAGTGAGAAAAGTTTCCATTAAACAGTTTAATGATCACACAACAAAGGATATTGTCTCAGCACGGTTTCTGGATCCCACAGCGGATACGACTTTTCGGTACAGAATACATAGATTGAAAAAGTATATCGTTCGGGGTAATGAGCTTTTAATTCATTCTGCTTGTTTATCCTCGATCTTTTTTAATCCGTTAGGTTTGGTGTCTTGCATCTGGCTCTTTGGTTTTCGATACGGGTACACATGGTGCGTGTGTCCGATCCGTCTGTTTCCGACCGGTCCTGGATGAACCATCAACTCCTGCCGGTCATGAGTGGTTTGTTGCTACCGGAGACGATACGGGGACGCTTCGTATTTGGTTACTGACCTCTAAACGGTAGGCGGCCACTATGTGTTGAAGCCTTTATGTCTGTAAGCAGTTTTGACCACCATATCTTTCTGTCGGATGACTATTAGATTCTATTCATAACCAAATCCTCGCATCGATTTGCCTTTCGATCACCTTGCGCATCTGATCTGAGTCAACCTTATCGGCTTTTTTGACATTTTCCGGTCATAATTTCGAATCATTTAATCACTAAGAGTATTGTTTAGAGCTCTTTGTCTATTGCGTTTCATGCTCTATTTCCATCCAACTCGCATTTTCCAGCTTGCGAAGAGCCAAACCGAAGTCACTACAGTATGGGCAATTGAATCGGTCGCTCAGTCCGGACAGTCTACTGTACCAGAAAGGAAGTATAAATCGAGCCCATTGGCACACCTCGTCTTCGCGTCATCTCAATCGATTGCCCAGTCCAGATCTGAAAGATCTTGAACGACCCGCTAGCCGGGATGCACGAGCTGCGTTCTTCTCTAATGCTGCAGGTTTCGGAGGCTCGTGGCTAAGACGCTTGGTCTGGTCTCCCGATGGTCGACTGATTACTGGATTGTCTGATCGTCTCTGTGTGTGGCCATTTGAAGCCCCCTTACCGCACGTGGCTTCATCTGGTACTGGTCGTGACCGCTTCGGTGGTGATCTCTTCCAGGGACCTCGTCTGGAATTGAAACGATGTCGAGTTCTACGAGTCTTGTCCTCCGGACTTGCTGAGAGAGTCACTTCCTCGCTACACATGCTCTCTGTTAGCCCCAGACGGTCGGTGACAAAAAACTCTCAACCATCAATTTTCCCTGATTTACCCCCAACTATAGTTACTGTTGATGTCAATACAGGTACATTGTATGTTTTTGATCCTATTGGTGCTCTCTTCCAATCAGAACTAGGAGATTGATTCAGTCTCATCCAGCTCACAGATACATGACAACCGAACTGCATACTGATTTTTCATACGCACATACATGACAGGCATTGTTTGGGAACATCACTACGGTGCCTTTCACTTCACATTTTTACACAGCCACCAACTGTTTTCATTCCAAGTTTCAGCATTACCTGAAAACATTCACTTTTTCGCATCATAGGCTTTTCCGCTATTGGTTTTCCTTTCTACTGTCCCGTTTCTTGTTTTACGATATATTTCCTGTTGCTATTTGGGACGAACAATGACTGTTTCTCTATGTGGGCTTTGATTGAGATCAACTAGCATTTTGCACACTTCCTATTGAACACGGTCCTCAACCCGTCGTCTCTTTATCCTGTTCCGATAAGAATCTCTATGGGATGTTTGTGATCGGTGGGATTCTTATGAGAACAGTTTTACACGATCGATTCGATGGTGGAGGAGGAGGAATAAGAATATGTCTTACCGGACAGAAATTAGATTCTGATTGTTTCTGGTGCAGTCTACTAGTTCGCCTTATTCGCACTTGTTAGATGGATGTTCCCGTGATGGCAGCTCTTTCTCAATCTCCTACCATGTTCCTCTAACACAGTTTCTTCATTTTGTGACACACTAAACGCCCATATCTCACTGCGGTTCTATGTAGTTGCTTGTATTTATTAACGGTTAGCCCCAATAACCGCTTGGCAGGTGAGCCCAATCAAACCGAGGGTAGTCGGATTCCTCGGAACACGATTAATCACAGCTTCACCAACGACTAGAAATTCGCTCTGCATCTATATGTGCGTTACTTCAAAAGCCCTGTCCGACCCATCCACTGCTTGCCGGTTACAACAGGTTGGGCAAAGGCTAGGGATGGAGCGTAAATATCGCTGAGTGATATTTGGACGTCATTCGTACTGAATCTTCATGAGGCTGGCTCATTCCCTAGTAGCAGACATTTTCTAATGCCATCGATAAATAGATCAGATATTTGCATATTGGAAACAATTTCCATACCGTGGTCTGAAGTCCGAGATCAAGAGTTTGTTTATTTGGTTCGCCGTATCTTTCCTATTAGGTCAAAGCTATAGTACGCTATGAAATGTTCCTGGCACTAAATTAAGAATACGTCTGATCACCTGTTTGGCAGGCTATGATTTCATTGCAACTGGGAGAAAGAAACTTATAGGCAAACAGTCGTCTGTGCACAGCCAAATATCGCCGCCTCTCCATTTCGGTTACGCGGCGAAATCAGTTTCTTTTCATGTGGTTCAATGTGAAGTCTGGGATTTTCATTGTTCATTGCTACAGTTCTTGTATTCAGCACGGTGTGTAATCTTACCGAATATTAAAAAAAATGTCGCAGAATGGAAAACAAAAATTCCAAACTTTGTAGCTATCGGCGGAATTTTCTTAGATATAGATAAAAGAAACGCATGTTATTGAATATTTCCATCGTGACATTATGAAATGAGTAGTGCGCAAAGCCTGTTTCCGATAACTTCTTCCTTGGGCTGATACAGTTAGTTATATATTGAGTTCGAAGTTGTCAGATTAGTGTAATGGTTTGGTGTGATTAACATGAAAGGTTGATTGCGGTGTGATTTAGAGATGGAGGACAAAGTTCTTTCAGTCTGCTTCTTGCTAAAGGTTACGATCGTTTCGGTGGGCCGTGTTCGGTTGAGGCCACAGAGCCGTAGACACAGATTCGGGCGCGTGTTAGAATAGTAGGATCTCATTAAGTTGACAAGTTCGATTGGGACACCATCGGCCAGAACTATGTTCCAGGGGGATTCGCGATCTACGGAGTCGAATGCCGCACGAAAATCAATGAAACAGACTGTTGTAGGTTGTTGAAACTTATGGTGATGTTCCAAGAGTCGGCGTAGAGTGAATATTTGATCTACGCAACCCACACCGGGGTGGAATCCTTTCTGGTTAGGACGAGTACGTGCATGCCTTGCTGCAGCAAAGCGGTTCGGCAAAAGTTATGCAAAATCCNTAAGCTGATGCCTCTGTAGTTTTCGCACACTGATTTGTCACCCTTTTTGGGGAAGGGTAGTAAAATCGATGTGGTCCAGTCAATTGGGCACATTTCGGTTACCCAGATTGTAAACAGTAAGCTATGAAGAGGGTTTAAAATGGCTGAAGAACACTTCGCATAGAGTTCGGAGGGTATCCCGTCCTCACCGGGAGATTTCCGTGGTTTGAGATGATTGATGATATCTGAGACTTCTATTGATGGCGGAGCGCAGTTAACTTCGTATGGAGAAGATGGCGAGGAAGGCGCACACGGAAGTTGGATTTGAGGGCGGTTGAGAAGAAGACTAAAGTGTTCCACCCAC